GCCATGCTCAGCTCTCCCGGGTAGACGCGATAGCTCTGCTCTCTGAGGCACACGCGATGAAGATGGATGTAGGCTAGAATCTTCCCGGTAAGCGCACCTTGGGGTGCTTACACACATTATTAGAAATGGGCTAGTCCAGGTGCGAGAATTAGCCTGTAAGGGCTAGAGTTCATGGGCCAAGCAGTTCTTTAAATGAATACAGTTTGTGTGTTGTTATTTCGGGCGTGAGCTAGCCAAGCGGCTGGGGTGTTGGGGACGCAGCCCCGCCGCCGCTTCATATTTCAACATTTACAGGAAAAGAACAGGAAAAAATTTGCCTTCACAGTGCCTACTTATAATAATTCTCAGGCTACTAGGAGATTTCAATAGACCATCCTCCCACAGGAAATGCTTAATAGCCTCACCTGTGCTAATACTTTGTAAGTATTAGCCATTGGAAATAATATGTAAGCAATTTCCTAAGTCTATAGTCTACCATTACATGGATGATATATTCCTATATAATTCAAATGTAGATAGTTTAAAAATAATGTTTAAAGAAGTAAAGAAAGTTTTGCCTAAATGTGGACTACAAATTGCTCCTATAAACACGAAAAGGAGATTCTGCCAATTACCTAGGTTATAAAATCGATTTACAAGAAATTAGAATACAAAAGATGCAAATTAGGAGAGAATAATTGTGGGCTCTTAATGATTTTCAAAGATTGTTAGGAGACATTTCCAGTCTATGATCGGATGTTGGGATAACACCTTATCTAATAATTCATTTAAACAAAAGCTTAGATGGTGACAAAGACTTAAATAGTTTCAGGGAATTAACAGCTGAAGCTGAAAAAAAATTAACTGTGGTTGAAGAAAAATTGCAGAAGGCACATGTGGATCAGGTGGATCCAAATCTTAATTGCATTCTAGTCATATTGCCTTCCAGAATTTCCTCTACAGAAATTTTAATGCAGAGGAAATATATTATCTTAAAATAGATCTTTTTACCACATAAACTAATTGAAAATTAAAAACTTATGTAAAAAAGATACATCTCTGTACATCTGCTGCCCACCGTGGGTACAAGCCCTCCCTCACCTATCGGGATGGCTCATCACTTCTTGCTACTGCCTTTCCAGCCAGCACCCAGACTGCCCCACCCATAGCACACTGCTGTAACCTTTCCAGCCTCCCAAGTTTTTTCCCTAGAGTGATCTCTATATCCCCAGGCTGTGCACAGACCCTGTTCTCACCCTGTTTATGACTCACAGCTGCTGGTAAGTTTGGGTTCCTTGATAAGCTGGCCACTAGAAACTCTCTCTGTGTAAGAAATTTCTTTAATTGACCTATAACATGAAAAGAGGCACCAAATTCCAGGAACTAGGCCTTTTATTTGATAGCCTATGCCAATCCAGGGAGGGATTGTCCCTCTATTGTAGGGTAACTTCTTTTAACTCTTTTTATATGTATATGTATATATA